GATTTCAGCCTCTGTTTTGTGAATGATGTTAATGCGATTATGAAATCTGATTTTTGCACCAGTTTCTATTCACTCGACATGTTTCACCTTTGAGATAAGGTGACTTGCATCCGGAGATAATTTTCTCAATATTTCTGTGTAACATTATAGGTGGATTATTCTGGATTCATGACAATAAATCCACAAAGGTTTGGACAGAAGTATGTTGGGAAGGTATAATGAGGCTATTGCTCATACTGTTTGAGGAATTATATATATTTTTTAAATTTTCTCATTCAGGTACTAAATAATTAGTATTCAATTTTTGAAGGTTGCAAATCCTCAAGATATTCTTATATTTTCAAAAGCTGCTAAAAGGAATCAGAAAGAAGGTAATATACTCATCCAGACCAACTGTGGCTATTTTCCAAAGATTTAACTGGTGGGTTGCAAACAAGTTTTTCTACAGTCTGGAACATGGGTTGCTCTCTTTATAAATAAGCCTCTTCTATATCTATATATATATTGATAAGAGGAGGAGGTCTTGATAAAAAAAAAACCTTCATTCCTTTATATAATTAATTACATTAATCCCTAACTTTTGGGGGGAAATAAGAAGATAAGAATAGGTGGCCAGTGGAATATTCTATTACAATGCTGTTGAGGCAGAAGTTGCAAACATATACTGGAACAGCTGTTGGCTTGGAAGTTTATTTTCACTTTTAAAGATTATCATATATTGCTTTTCCTATATTCTTGTTTCTGCAACAGCATATGGATCATCAAAGCTCTTTTTGTCTTCTTAATTTTATATGTTTGATGTTAGTTTCGAGAAGAATGGTGTCGACAGAGTTTAACTTAAGTTTCTTTTTATTGTAGCCAAAATTGATGATTCTGAAAGGCTTCGTCCAGAAGAATTGAATCAACAGAATATAGAAGCATTAGTTGCTGAAAACAATCTGGTAATTGAACTTAGCATTCAATGTTTCCTTTGTCTTATTTTGCCTATATCACTTATTTCACGATTGGAACATAAGTAATGAAAGAAGGAAAAAGCTTAATTATTGCATGAGTTTTGAAATAGTTTTTAGTATAATATAAACTTGAAGTTGGAAAGATGAGCAAAAAATCATGTAAGAACCAATACCCATTCAAAAAAGTAATATACGGTCCTTATCTTTGTTCAAATTAAGACATGTGAGTGGCTAAAAATGACCTAGTGAAGTTAGTATATTGCAAATCATGTACTAAACATAACCAAAATTTAACACTCCAACCAAACGAAGTATTAATGCTTATTTTAGTGTAGTCCCGGAGGGTACTATGCCAAATGCTTAATGATATAGAATATTGTTTCTATGGAAAATAACTTTTTACTGAAAACACCATGTATTTTCCATGCTAAACTCAACTTGACATAATAACTAAGCATTGATTGAATGCTTCTGCATACAAAAGCTGTATCAGATTTCCAGTTTTCTTTCGGTTACCGGACTAAATGGGACTTGCATGACTGGGATCAAATATTTACAATGAAGTTTATTCACCTTAACCTGGTCCTTTTTATCATGTTTATCTTGCAGAAAATGGAGATCCTTCCAGTCAATGACTTGGATGTCGCACTGCAGAATTTTGTTAATAAGGATGACAAATTGGCTTTCTATAACTGTGTGAAATACAATCTCGAAGAAACTCGTGTAAGTATTTTAGAGGGTACCCAATATGCAGTTAAATTAGTGCAAAATTATAATGTCAGAATGGGGAGGGAGGACGAAAGAAGATAAATGCAGAGAGTACTATTAAGGACCTTACTTTTACTATTTTAACTCGAGATGTGGTCCTAAATTGAGCTAAATGGCTTCTCTGATCCATATAGCCGACCTTGCATTTTGGAAAGGCTTCGTGTTGTTTTTTTTTGATAAGAGGCTTCATGTTGTTTTAATCCTTGTTTAATTTAATGTCAATTGGATGTCCCTGTTATAAATTCTTTTTGGCTGATGTTTTAACATAATCTTATGATTTGCTGATTTGTTCAATTGCATGTATTAGTTTGACTGTTCTTTCTTTTCATCATATTCTTGTCGTGCCAGCGATTTCTTCACTCTTTTTATTGACAGAACAAAATTGGAAAAGATTCAGATGCTTCAAAGTTTGAAGAGGAAGACTTGATTCTTAAAGTTGGGGAGTGCTTCGAGGCAAGCATTTTAAGTTTATTGATATAATAATTACTACAAAGTTTTAATGCTAAATAGCCCGATTGCAAAAATGTTCCTAAGTCGATACTTGTTCATCAATAGTGCCTTCGGTAGATGGAAAAGTAAATTATGCTTCAATTCATCTTTTAATTTTGCAGGAACGTGTCAAGGAAAGGTCCTCACACCTAAGGATACTTTTCAGTTCACATCCAGTGTGCAGTCCTTTGAGGTGATCTCAAATTCTTAATTTGAATTTGCTCTATGCTGATCAACAATGATTGGATATGCTCCACTTTCTATTTGTTGAAGTTTTCTTATACAACGTTCTTTGCATCTAAACTTTTGGTTATTCAATATTATAGAATGTGAGGAGTAAATACAATACGGGAATAGGAAGTGCAACCTCCTTTAGCGATGATGAAGATACAACACAGATATTAAGCTCTGCCAATATAGGTCAGAAAGGGTCATTGACAGCTTCTCGATCATCTGGCGATGCTCCTGAACTTGTTAAAGGTAAACATCTACTAGAGGAAGGGGTAGAGGTAGGGCAGAGGATCTAGTGGCTTAAAGCAGACAACCCTTGATACTACCTTGGGGTTTCGCCATTCTCAAAGGTGACACTTCGATCTAACCTGTTGGCAAGTAACTTAAACGTATGGAAATTTGCATCAATAGCTAAATCTCATGGGTAATTTTCCTAATGCAGATCTGCATCGGTTGATGCATCAGCTTCAGTCCACAGTATTGCTGATGATGAGAACATCATCTCCGCTTCTAGTGAAGAACATGGAATTAATGAGGTTAACAACAGTTCGGTATGAAATACCTCTCGGTTCATTTCAAACCCATACTCCTTGTATATTGCTTCTCTATTTGACTATACACTGTTGTCACAATTTCAAGAATAATGTAAATACAATCTGAATAAGTGCTCTGTATTTTTAAGGAAAATGATGAAACTGGTAAAGGGCGCAAAAGAGCAACTCCTAGGGGAAGAAATAGAGGATCTACATCTAAGCGGGGCCGGAAATCTGATGACTCTTTAGTTCACAAAATGTTCATGAACAAGCATGACAATGATGATGATGACGACGACGATGCTGAAGAGATGCTAGGAGATTTAACAAGCCTCCACCTCGGGTTAGTGATTGTTCTATTTGTTCCGAATTCTGGCTCTGCTCGTAACTTCACCGTGTTTATAACCTCAGATTTAAGTAAAACAAATTATATCTTTAAGTAAAACAAATTATCTTTACCTCTAGCTATATCAGACTAATTTCCCCTTCGTGCTAGAAATCCTTGCATTAAACATGGGATTCCATGACTGCAGTCTGACACTGTCCTTTCGTGTTTCTTAGGCAACAAAACGTTATGGATCTTTGAGGAGATAATGTCGATTACGATGAGAAATCGAGAAGCAAAACCATCCAGCAGCAGCCCTCAGAGGTAAATGGTTTTCAAGGCGCAATTAGGTATGAACTGTATAGCCCTATAACATTACACAAGCCTTTTGCCAGCGAGATTACAAAGGACGTACAGACTAGATTCGTATATAGGGATTTTTTTCTCATGTCTTGGTATTTGAACTAAACAAACTAATTTCATTTGGTAATTTCTAGCGACTCGCATGACTTGGTTGGAAGAAAAATTTTACTTATTTTGAAGAGGTATTTTTATTAGAGTTTTGTTCATCTACTTCTTTCTTTTATGCTACAACAAACAATTTTATACTTATGTAATAATTAAGCTTTTCTGTGTTAATACTTGACTAATCAAATGAGGCAGAGATATTAGCAGTTCTTTGCAAATAATCAAAAGCTAAACAGATTCTCATTTCCTCTTTGCAAAGTATACACGTGCAAGAGTTTTACATAAACATATTTTTTTCATATAACATCAGTCATTGGTGATAATTTAAAGTGGGTATAATAAAAATCTATATGAGATGATTCTTTCACTTAATATTTTATATTACAATGTCAATTCCATTTCATGATATGTAAAGAATGTATGGACCTGCAAAATCAGGCAGGCATAATAAGATTTCAGTACAATCTAACCTGGGATAGGTAAGTTTGGATAGATCTATGCTAATTATTTTAACCGTTTCATAATAAATGATCAATCACCCTTGCTACAATTAGTGGTGCTCGACTTGGGACCTTTAGGAATAATAATCATTTCTGTAACCGTGAGATAATTTGATTCGTGCACATAGTTTTTTATTTTATTTTTCCTTTTCATTTTTCTGTACAGTTGTAGGTGCAAAGCCCGAACTATCCCTCCCATCTATTTCAAAAGCCCAAACATTGAGATAAAATGTTATGATACAAGGATAAAAGTTGGTGATACTTCAATTCCTTTGCTGCCTTCTAATTGGCTGATTTCTGAAACCTCCCAATCGGTGGTCTCACTACATTCTGCTCCTTTCTTGTCTATATATATATATTCCACTTCCCTTCATTGCATTGTCCTTGCAATCTAACTCACTAACTAAACCAAAAACAAAACATTGCCCCTTCAATTCTGAGGGCGATGGCTTCAATGCTTAGTCAGGAACTGTCCTAGGCCCCCCATTTCTCGGCCAAACAAAAATGCAAACTCTCTCAGATATGTCTCTGTAGGCACTGCCAAAAACACAATGGCAAGCTTTTGGGGTTTCCCCTCCTTTTTCCCCACTTGTTTACTAGGATTTTGCATCTGGGGAGTTCCATCTACTTGAACGGAGAGTTCCTGGTGACTATGGAATGGCATGTTGGGAGCACTATGCATCACCCCTGAAGTCCTTGAGAAATGGGTTAGGGTGGACTTCAAGGAACCAGTATGGTCGGAGCTCAAATCTTCTCTGAAGGTGGCTTGGACTACCTAAGCAACCCCAACCTTGTCCATGCTCAAAGCATTCTCGCCGTCCTCGGGTTCCAGGCCGTCCTCATGGGGCTCGTCGAAGGTTTCCGTATCAACGGTCTCCCTGGTGCTGGAGAAGGCAACGACCTTTACCCCTGCAGCCAATACTTCGACCCTCTTGGCCTTGCTGATGACCCTGTCACGTTTACTGAACTTAAAGAAATCAAGAATGGTAGGCTGGCCATGTTCTCTATGTTTGGTTTCTTCGTCCATGCCATTGTCACTGGAAAAGGTCCCCTGGAAAACCTCTTGGACCACCTTGGCAGCCCTGTTGCCTACAATGCTTGGGTCTATGCTACCAAGTTTGTACCCGGATCCTAAATTAATAGGCCCAGATCAAACTTGTTCCGCAATTTGCTTGCGTATGTCGATGAATTAAACCATGAATCACTGAGAATTCAATGAAACTCATGTTCAAGTTAAGTTTAGGGTTCAACAAAGAAGAGAGCACACAATGAAATTGCAGATTCTTTGAATATGAACACTTTTCATTGGTATACCGAACTACAATGTTGGCGTTTACATAACTGACAACAGAATATACATAAACTAAAATCAAACTACTCATAGAGATGTCTCGACACGATGAATACCTATTTTGTCTATGCACAAGGTAATTCTTCCCACCGAGTAACAAAAATTGGTAAGATATACAAGCACAATGTCTTCCTTGTTGCAGTAAATGTAACTGCACCCGAGAATGGATGCAGGTTGTCATTTAAGCAACAACTTTGTGATCAATCAAGATTATCATTTCAAGGTGGGATTCGATCACGATCTTGAACCTAACTTCTCCCACCATTTTCTTCGAGATCTTTCTGATTCTTGATGCCCACGCTTATGTAGTCTTGCCTTGGTTTCCTTTAGTCTCATCTTGAAATCTTTCTTCCATGTCTCGAACCTGTGTTTTAACCTACGAAGTTCATCATCAGGATTCACATTAGAAGCTGGTTGTGCTGTTCTGGTATCAACCAAAGATTTTGCATCATCGTCAAAAGCTTGTTTCCTCTGATCAAACTCTTTTAGCAGATTTCCCACTGCATTCAACGAGCCGTTCTCTCTCACCCCAACAGGAGTATTCACACCAGGAGTTCGAGATCCCATCGACAAGTTTTCCTCAGAATCATAATGGCGAGGGGATACAACATTAGCTCTTCCTAGCTGACCAGCAGAGCTGTCAGCAGCAAGACTCTTTCTGGCTGCAGCAAGACTTGTCTGCAAAAAATTGCAATCGAAATCAATAGACGTCTAAGTTATTAAACAATTAAACATGCATCAAGGGCAACAAAGGGGACCTTTCATGCCTGTCAACAACAATCACCTAATGCAAACATGTTTCAATATTTTTATATATAAACACACAAACTCACCTGTAACGATGCCATTTGCTTTTGCCACATGTCCTCCATTGATTTCATCTTTCCCTCATAATCCAACCTCTTTGCCTCGTACTGTTGTAATTGCTCACGTAAGTGGTTTTCCTGTTCTTTTTGCCCCAAAGTTGCTTCTGCCTTGAGTACCCTTCTTTGAAGCTCTGCCATAACATAAGGTACAACTTGAATCTGCTGCTCGTGTGGTGTTTCCTGGTTGGCCAAAAATAGGATCCGAGTAAATCCTTCATAGTTGTTCAGAATATAGAGAACATTGAGAAAGTAAAACATGCTCTTTGGCATGCAAATAAGAGAATAAAACTGGTTTGGAGAATATCTTTAAAAGGAAAGGAAAGGAAAAAACTCTAGTATGTTACCATGTCACCCGTGGGAATACCTTGCCTCAGAAAGCTTCCTACCAGTCTTTCGTTTAGATTTTACGCTTACATGGTTCAACTGTTTTGAAATATGCATGTTATCGAAATGTCTCCGGACTAACCACCCACGAATTACTGCAGTGGAAAAAAATGACGATGATAAGAGAACAATAGACATTTGATACACAAATTAGTTAGAACACACAGAACTTACCAGATTGTAAATGTATAATTGATGCCAACTTCTCATCAAGTAACTGAGAAGCAAATGCTGAGCACCTATTATGCTCTATAGCATACTTCCTTTGGATACTTTCACCACAAACTGCATCACAAAGGAAATATCCGTCGATCAATTGAAAATAATAAAAGTGTGAATTGGCAAAATAGAGGGTCTAGAAAAGGAATCAACTTATGACAAACAAAAATAAATTCACACCAAGCTTCTGTAGTGTTAAAAAGGCGCAGAGGATTTTGTTTGGAAGAATCTCGCACAAAGCAGAAATATACATTGGAAAGAATTTTGCTTGGAAGGAACTACTTACATGATTGTATATTTTTTGCTCCTTTGTTGAGCTCAAGGAAAAGGCAACGAGCTCGGTGACCGCGGAAGTACTTTTGAACCCCAATTACTCCTCGCAACACCTGTTTTCTCCTATGCTCCAATGCAGCGATCTGCATGCCAGACACAGCAACAAAGAAATTATTACATTTATTTAACCATAACAGAATGAATAAGTTGGTATCTCTATTTTCCGAAACTCAATATGTTAACTTTAAGGTCAAACTCTAATGATACAAGTCTTTGGGCAAAGAGATATTTCAGCACCAAAACTGAAAGAACAAGAAAAACAAACGATGTATAAAACTTACCTGTCCAGTTCGAAGAAACAATTTTGTATAGCCAACTTGATACGTTTCGGGGAGGACATTAAATTGTTTTAGAAGAGCAACTGAAATGCTTAATGGATCGTGAGGTGCATTGGTCTTCGAAAGTAGGAACCAATACCTATGAAATACTTGAATATATGAGACTATGCTCAAAGAGAAATTTTAAAAACATAAAACAAGCCATAAACTACAGAAGGTTTTAGCCGCTACCTTTCTGCAAACTCATGATGTGTAATTCGAGTTGGATATCCTGATTTTGAGATTCTAAACAACCTCCAAAACTCCACAATATCTAAGTTGCTGCAGGACAACATCCTCTTCATACTTGTCAGGGACCTGCTTGCAATTTGGTTTTATGCAGCGAATAAAGTGAGGCGTTGTATTCTCTAACTGGTGCATTAGTTCGAAAAGTTGGCCCTGCAAGTACAGAAGAAAAAAAGTAACCATCCACATATCAAATACCCAAGAATAACAGACAAGCAAGAATAAAAAATACTCTATAATATTACATTCGACAGATTGGCAAATGCTGGAATGCTTTACAATGGAGATTTATGTAAGAAAGTTTCTCCGATAGAGATGGGAACCGTAAAATACATTACAACCTCCAGATATATTTGGATCACAATTATTAAGGAAGCAAATTTACCTTGAATTTCGTAACAACACTTAGCTCTGGGGATTCAGATGAAATCACTAGTTTCAAAGATTGATCAAGCATTTTTTTGGCAAATGATTGTGGCAATTGGCCACTACAGGATGACAGAAGTTGGACCAACCCCGAGTTAAGAGGATCTCGGTTCTTTTCCAAAAAGCCATTAGTATCATACAGTACCTGGCAGAACTCCAAAAATCAGTAATTTCGTCCATGCTTTGAACATTGCTATCTTATAAGAATTCCATACCATTTGAATAAACTATCTAAAGAAATTCAACCTTTTCAAAAAATTTAGACTTTCTGAAACATATTTCACGGTTTGTTATCTCCTTTGAAATTGGATGAAAAGAATCTTTTTAATCCTCAAAAGTACATTGACTGACCTCTCCTGCAAAATGTCGAACACCAAAGGCCCTTCCTCTGTCACCTTTGAAGTAAGAATTAGCATGCAGATGCTTCAACTTATTAGCAAGGTGAAATCAGTTGCATTGTGGAAATTTGATTCCTCATCCAAAGAAAGTATTCCCATTGGTTTCTGCAAATAACCAAAACAGAAGAATAACATTCAGCTTTCAATCAAAACGAAATATGAAAAGGAAATATAAACTCCACCCATCTGCATTCAGCAACGAAGCAAAGACAACAAACTTCAGTAAGACTAAGCTCAATTTCTAAGAGAACCATAGGATATAAAACCAAGCATCAGCACCAAAGCTAAGACAACATACATTAGCACAAATCACATGTTATATAATATATAGGGAAAAGAGACCAGCAATCCCATAGAAAACTCCAATTGCTGACAAATATTGAACCAGATACCTTCTCAAATAAGTCCAAGCACTCTTGGTTGTCTTCAAAATCAACTTTGGCCCAATCAATCCCATCCAACTCGTACTCCTGAAATTAAAAAAAGATGGGAAGTTGGTCAAAATAACAATTTGCGTTAGGGAAGGGAAAAACAAATTCAGAGATAAGAATCAACAACCGTGATTAGAACTTCAACTTATGAAAAATTTGCATGCCCAGGAAAATAAGGCTGAGTAAGGGAAAACCCAGCTTAAAATTTGAGTTGCTTACCTCTTGCTCAAGCTTAAATAGGTGTCGGATGAAATGTTGTTGCAACCTCTCATTTGCTAATTAATACAAAACTGTTCAAAACTATTCTTCTGAAAGTCGGAAGACAAAAATTGTAAGTTGAACAAACTTATACACAATTACAATATCTAAATATCTAATTAGAAACAACTTACCTTAAATGACTCAAACCCATAAATATCAAGGATGCTTATGGACCTGTCATCGCATCTTTTACCAACTTCAAGTGACTTGTTGATTAGTTCCACAAGCCAGTCAAACAAGCTTGCATAGATGAATTTTGCTAATGCATCTCTTGTGTCAATTGCCTATATTACAAGTTATAAGCAACATATTATCAGGTTGTTAATTGTGCATCACAGCACACATAGCATGTGACTAATGAGATGATTGAGGAAGAATAATTTTGCTAACAAATACTGGACGAACCTGTTGCAATGTCGATTTCTTAGCAATATTATCCTTGGCAGCAGGGATTCTATGGGTAAATAAAGTTTGCATCAATTCATGTACATCACAACCCAAAAGCCTGGCTGCACTGGTTAAAGCTGAAACAAGAGGGAAAATCCCACTTAAATTCGCAAGTTAAACAAAAGGCTAACTACATGCATTATATTCTTTGTTTTCTACAAGGCTTATGCAAATTCAGTTCCTTAAAAAATACTACAATAAAGAAGGAAACCAGTTTCTCTCTCTTGGAAGAAAAAAAGAAAGAAAAAATGGCGTATTTGCTGAAGATGGGTCATTATGGAAAACTAAATCCAGCATTATTACCTTCATCAGCTAATGCCTCCACATGATGTTCTTTGTCAATTAGTTGAAATGACATATCTCCCAGCCATAATACTGCAGCTAGCATTGCAAATGCTTGTTCTTGCTGTCTTTGCCAATTTGAACAATGTCCATGGCTTCCTGCAGAAACGGGCA